AGAGAAAGCCAGCTCAACTTAACATACAGTTTAGTAGAATTTCCTCCATAAACTTCTAAATGGAGGAGCCCTGGGCATGGGCAGCTCAGCCTGGGATACAGCTCCTGGCTGGCCAAAGAGTCAGCGGCGCTAGGGTTGTTTGGAGGAGGTCCTGCTTCAGGCCCAGGCTTCCAGGTTTCTGCTGGCCACATTGAAGATGAAGAGTAAACCGCTTCCCCCTTCATTTCCTGCTAAAGGTACCAGGGCTGTCCTTCTTCCAGAGCATGGAAGACGTGCTCTGGGCCTCATGCATTGGTGCTCCCAGCACTATAGTCCCAGAGGTCTGCTCACCCATTAGGCTTAACACTGTAGCCAGATTAGGGTCAGGAGGGAATTTTCCTGGGCTGATAGAAAAATTGCAGTTGCATTTTTATGTGGTTTTGTTTGTTTGGATTTTTGTTTTGTTTTGGGTTTTGGTTGGGAGTTTTTTGCACTTCTCTAAGTTCACATCCATTTTCTAGATCCTATGCATGTTTTTTTCCCCAAATTCTCTGTCATCACCAGGCTGCAGACTTGATGGTCCCTTCATCTCCCTACTTGCTCCTTGTAGCATGTTACAGCTGCAGCTTTTTGCTGAGACAAGGCAGGAAGCATTTGCAGTGCCTAGTTTGTGGGACGGGTGGAGCAAGTGTCTGGCTTAGAGGCACCAGCAGAACAATCACTGCACCTTTACCCTCAACTGCAGGACCCTTGAACGTAGGGTGACCCTAGAGGACTGCCCCAATATGAACACAAGTACACACGATAACAGCAAAAGCAGCCGCCAGAGGGAACATGGGAATTAACCCAGGCTCTCAGCTGTACAAGCACAGATTGAAAGCACACACCACTACTGGCTAACCTCCAGAGCTTGTAGGCAGGCAGGAATTTGGGACAAGGGATGCGTAAGACAGCAGAGAAGGTGTGAGAGTGAGGAGACCCCAAACCTGCAGGCTCTGTGAGCCACAGGGAGAAGAGCATCTCTCCCAGCTCTCAGGAGCTCCTCTGAGCCCGTATTTCCAGTGATCCCAGCACCAAATTCCCATGGACCCTCTCTACAGGTACCCTGAAGAGGTTCCTGAAAAGAGGTTCCCTGAAAAGAATCCTGTGAGGTTCCCAGTGCAAGAAGCCTGGGCTGGGGAGTCACAGACATGACTCTGAAGCAGCCTCTGCTTTGAGTCAGGATCTCTGAGCTCTTGGATTTGTGGGGTCAATCTGAATCTCAAGGGCTGGTGGTCCCAAGGAAGGGAATGGGTACAAACAGCAAGGAATATCACATGGCCAGGTTTGTGCCTGGCACCGCTCCCCACAGGGGTCTCTGTCAGCTTTCAGGATGAGCACACTGAACATCTTAAGCCGGATCTTAAGTGTGAACATCTGAAGTGTGGAAAAGCAAACCCGCCTCACTGCAATGTGGGTGCTCAGCATGTGGCAGCATCCAGCTCCAAGGTCCCAGAATAACCTTTCCTGAAGATAAGGGGCTCTGCTGTTGAACTCTACAAAGCAGTGGGGACAAGGGCTGTACAGCCTCCAGCCCCAGTCAGGGGTGTGCAAGGAATGCTGCTGTCAGAGTCTCCGGCTGCCCTGCTGCCTTTTGCACATGGGATCCAAACTAGCTGATGCATGGAGCACAGACTCCTCATCTTCCAGGTTTTGCCCACAATGAAAGACCACTGTGGATGCCCTTCTGGATGCTTTCTAGCTTGGAGATCACATTTAGGACATACTAATGCAAGAGGGAATGAGAAAGGAAAGGGAAGAGGAAGGTGTGAAATCAGCACTGGTCCCCTGGAATTTTGTTCCAGTAGAAGGGCACAGGTGGCAGGGTTCAGGTTCCTGGTTCAGGAAGTGTTAGGGACAACCACAAAAGAGTGAAGTCTGCAGCAGGAAGAAAAGGGGAAAGGCTGAGACTACCTTGAAGAGAAATATTGTGAAAACCTCAGCTCCACCCCCCTGTGTAGTCCCCAGCCATGGGCTGCTGCAGCTCAGAACAGAGCCACTCACACAGGCAGCAAAGGATGCTGCAAACTGTAGGAGGAATATTGGCTGTCCTACATGCACTGTGTGCCTTGAGTGAAGCAGATGTGCTTCTGAGAGACTCCCCGCAGGAGCTGGGGTCCCTATAAAGCCCTAGCTCTGCCCCTCACCTCTAGTATGACTTTGGCAGGGGAAACCCCACAGGTACTGCTGATGCCTGCAGGGCAAAAGCTGTACATGAGCTGCACCCCAGCCTCTCCCAAATGGCACTTCTGAGGCGAAGGGGGTCTGTTCTGGGCCAGCAATGCAGCCACCAGCAGGACTTACCTATTGGTGTGCACAGAGGAGAGCCAAGGCATTGCTCTGCCTTGGGAGGTCCAGGTCCAAGCTCCTGGACTGGGCTGTGTGCAGTGTAGCAGGGTGGTCTGGCTGGCAGCAGGGAGGCACGCAGAGCTGGGGACCGTCCACACACACAGCTCCAACACGAGCCAAAGGCAGGCACGTCCCGCCTGTGTCAGACCTCAGGGGATACATCTGTGTGCAGCTGCAGCCGTGCCTGCCAGCTGTAGGGCTGAGCAAGCGAAGTGATCCAAAGCGCTGCTGCCCTCCAATTCTCTCTGGAGCTCTGCCAGCACCCACACGTCCAGAGAGCTGTGCACCGCTTCCCACTCTCCTGCCTGCTTTTTGCAATGGTGCCTTTGCCACCAGCTGGGTGGCAGGAAAACACCTTTCTGCACCCCTCACACCTTCCACTACAGACCTTAAATCAATAACCCCAGAACACAGGGCCAGGTTATTGCCAACGGAAACCATTAAACTGTAACACGGGGGGATAAAGCCAGCCTCTAATACTTGAAAGATTTACAGGGCACAACAGCAGGGTGTTAATTCTTTTGGCAACACCAGCACTTTCACACCCCCTGCCTTTCCTTACCCGCAGGAGTGAGGAGAGGAGACCATGTGGAGCACAGCCCCAGGAACACAAGGACACAGCCTTGCTCATGCTGCAGCCAGCAGCAGACACGTTTGAGGTGACACTGTGCTCATAGGGCTGCCCAAACACACAGACCTCAGAGTCCATGGGGTAGCACATGCCCAGGAGTTGATCTGCCAGGAGATGTATCCCATGCCCACCTCTGGCTTCCCTGCGTCACTCCCAGCTCCTGCCTGCCTCCACAGCTGCAGCAGAGGCTCAAGGAAAGACTGTGAAGAAACCTTCAGACCACCTAAGGAGGTTGGAGAAACCAGTCCATCTCTTGGGCACATGAGCCTTTCCTCAGACCTGCATCAGCTCACGGGTGTTTCCACAGCTGGTTGAACAGGCGCTCTCTCTGCAACACTCTCGCTCGGATCCACATGTCCTCAGCACTGCTGTGGCAGCTCAGAGACCAGGGAGGTGCTTTCCAGCACCGTGACCAGCCCAGCTGCCCTGGGCAGGAGGGGAGCTACAGCAAAAGGCATTTGCATGGACTCCCAAAAAGGACACTCACATCCTGCTCTCACCCTGCTCCTGCCAAGCCCACATCCCTGGGAAGAGCTGCATTACTAATTAACATCCCCCTGCCCACTTCCACCCCCCATCCTGCCTTTGCCTGCAGCCACCTCCTTGAAGCCTCCCTTGTGCAAAGTCCAGGGCCAGGCAGGAGAGGACAGGGTGGGAGCTGGCCCCAGGATTCACCCTGCTGGCAGCCTCACTGCACCCCACACACATGGGTGCGGTGGAGGCTCCTGGAGCCAAGCTGTGGAGCAGCACAAGACACACAGTGTGCAGGCAGGAGCAGGAGCATCCCTTTCCACCCAAGGGAGCAGAGGGCACAAGTGGGCTCCACCCTGTGTCACCCCTGCTGGACACCCCACCTGAGTTTACTGCTATTTCCCTCCCTGCTCTCCTACTTGCCTCTTTCAAGCAAGAGGTCTGGGGGAGACTTTGAGCACCCCCTCACACCACAGGCACTGCAAGGAGCCCTTTGGGGGTCTATCCCCTTGCCTCCATGCTCCCCCAGCTCTGCAGAGCTCAGCTGGGTGGCTGCAGGCTCCCCCACCCCAGGGTGTGCTGAGAGGGGGCCCAACTGGGCACCACTGCACCCTGCTCAAGCTTGTCCCCATCCTGAAACCAAGGTGCTCAATGTCATCTCGATGCCAGCCAGCACTGCCAGCTCAACCCCGTTCTGGTGCTGGGGATCCCCAGGCTTGTCCCAGCCCAGAAGCAGCCCAAGGCAGAGCTTTCTCTGGCTGCCAGCACAAGTGCGAGGTACAGGGCCCCAGCACTGCTGGCTCAGGGCGAGGTGCAGGGAAGATGATTGGCAGCAGGCCCGAGCACGCTCCCTTGGGTGCTGCCTGGGATCACCCTTCTCCACTGTGTGCTGCAGCACACTGCAGGACCTGGGTAGGCATTCTGCATCCCTATCCCTGTCCATCTTTCCTCTGCAAAGCACCATCCCGCTGTGCTCTGCCCACCTGTAACTCTCCTTTGTGGGACACCTAGAGGTATCAGACATCCCTCTCCTGGCAAGCTGGAGCGAAACCAAAGAGTGGGCTCGAAGGGGACAGGCAGACATCGCAGTTGTGCACGCTGCCCGCAGCAGACGCCTGCCTGTGCTCCTTCCAGGGGCTTGAGCCCCCTGTAACCCCAGCCCACAGAAGGGAGCGGCGATGGAGATCTTGCACTGCCCCTCCGTGGCCACCACAGGAGGTGCAGGTGGCCCCAAAGCCCAGCCGAGTGCCCCAGGGCCATGAGTCCTCGCTCCCGCGGAGCCCAGGAGGCGGTCAGAGGGATCTGTGCTGCCTGTCCCCAGAGGTGTTCATCCCATGCCAGGCCACAGACCCCTCAGTGTGGCTCAGTGACGCCGGTCCTGTCCCCCTTTCCCCAGTGCACCTAGTCCCTGACCTGGGATATCTCTCATGGGGTCAAGACCCTAGCACACAGTCCCCAGGTCACAGGGGGCACAGCCCCAAGCCCACACCTAGGAGTGGCCCACACGAAGGAGGCAAGGAGACAGCGCTACTGTTTGGGCATCCACATTTATTACATGGCTGAGGTAAGCCTGGGGCTGCCACTCACCTGGGCCCTCTGGTCAAAGGCAAATGACCCGTCCTCCTTAAATACTGGTTATAAAACAAATTTCTTTTTTAGCTTTTTCTTTTTCTTAAAAACCCTCTCTCTCTCTCCCTCTCCATACTTTTTTGTCTTTTGTGTTTGAGTATAAAAGCGGGTGCGGGCGCTCCGCCTCGCCAGCTGCTACCTCCGCAGGCTGCGCTGTGCCTGCCGTAGCAGCGTGTCGAAGTCCAGGGAGTCAAACTTGCTCTTGACAGGGGCTGGGTCGAAATCCTCCCGGTTTGAGTCTGGAAGACATGGGGAGAGGCTGTCTTGAGCCACAGGGACACTGGTACAGTTCTGGCCATCCCCACAGCAACTCCTTCATATTGCACTTCATGTGCCAATTTCTAGACCCAGAGCTGGGCTGATGGAGGACTGAAAGGATGGAGAGCCACTGCCCAACCTCCCCTTGGGGCAGGGCTTTCCCTGGGATGTGGTCCTACCCAGCCAAGCCTGACTGACCCCAAGGATGGAGACTCCCACACCTGTAGGAAGGAGAGGACCGAGAGTGCTACCCCCCAACCTGGGTGCTGCAGGACTCACCCAAATCGGCATAGTTCCTCCTGCAGAACTGCCGGCGGCCACCAAAGCACAGGTCGAAGGGCTGCTCATCTGGGCGCCGCAGCTTGTGCCCACTCTCGATGGCAGCAAAGGCTTCCTCGGCATAGCGGTAGGTGACAAAGCCATAGTTGTCCCTGGAGCCAGAGAATAAGGAGAAGGAAGAGATCATCATCAGCACAGTATGTTTGTCCCTCCTTGCTCTGCACCATCTCTTTGAGGAATGGGAAAAGGGATGAGAGGAGCCATCCCAGAGAAGGGGTTGCCCCATATCCCTGCAGCTCTTACCCCTCAGAGCGGAAGTGCAGGGTGCACTCCTCGATGTCCCCGAACACAGAGAAGCGGTGCTGCAGCTCCGACCGGGTCATCCTGCTGGGGATCTTGCCAATAAACACAACTCGTCGCTCCTCCTGCGGGCAGGGATGAACTGCTCCATGAGATAGGCATGGGGGGACTTGGCATCTCTGAGTGATCCCTCCCAGTGAGCAGGATCTCTCCCACAGAGCACCCTCCCTGCATTGCCACCCATCACACCACGCCCTGGCCAGAGCCTCCCAGCAATGTGGCCTGCAAGGGTGCAACCACATGGCTTTCTCAAGTGATGGAAGGGCTGAGAACACCCAAATCTCCATCCCCAGTTTCCCAGCCTTCCAGCACTCACTATTGCACGTTCCTTCTCAAGGATCCTCTGCCTTTGGTAGTGGTCCTGCGCATCATAACTGTACCTGGCAGGGCAGAATATGGACACATTAGCTACAAGGTGCAGAAGAGAGTGATCCCAGACACAAGGGAGATACTGAAGGAGTGGGTCCACCCTACCCAGGACACTGGAGGCCAGGAGATGGGGTGGGGGGAGCTCACACCCCTGCAGGTTGGCCAACGCTTACCTTCTCCGCCTGTTACTTCTCCTGCGGGGCGAGGGGGAGCGGGACTGGCTGCGGGACATGGACCTACATGAGTAGGAGGATGCTGATGATGAGGATGAGGACCTGTCCCGGGACCTGCCACATGACCCACAGCTGGAGCGGGAGGACGAGCTGTGGGAACATCTTGAGCGGTACCTGGGGGAAGGAGAGACACAGCTCAATGTTGAGCCCTCCCCATGCCCAGCACCATGGAGAAGAAAAAGACCTCCATTCTCCCCAAGGTACACAGTACCCTGTTCAGACAGGGCCCATCCCAAGGGCGAGCTGGGTTGTGGGAATCTCTGCCCAAGTTGGCTGGGGCAGTAATGACACTAGAGATGTTGCTCCACTTGGCTCCAAACACCACAGCAACAAGGGAACAGGCTCACAATAGGCACAGCCTCTGAAGAGCAAGAAATAGTCATGGGGAAACCATGGAGCATGTGGCTGCAACTGCACAAGGGCCCATGAAGAGCTGGGGCTGCCCGGCTGAGCCCCACACAGTGCATGGAATGACACTGGAGCCATTGCATCCACCTTGCACTCAACAGCCATGCAGATGGAGACTGCATGTGCCTCCAACCATACTGAGAGCTGTAGCATGCACTGGTACAGGGCTGGGCTTCTGTGTTCACAGCCTTCTGCCTGCAATACTTTCTCTGGCAGGGCCAGGCATCAGGGCTGAAACTCCTCTGGGATCAAGCTGTGCTGCCTCCAGCAAACAGCAGGGTCCCTCTACAAACATGCTGGCCACAGGTGGTCCCTGCTGTAGGCAATCCCAGACTCTGAGCAGGGTGTGCCTGCCACATACTCTCCTGGAGGACAGCAGTCCATGAAGACACTTCCCAGCAAGGGGCCAGCTGCATTTGCAGGAAAGCCAAGCCAGACAAAGCAAGTCCCTGAGCTGCACCAGCCTCCACAGCTATAGGCCACCAGTGGAGGGGCCTTGGTTGGACAAGCCCTAAGCACCCAATGACCCAAGATGTCTCCAGAACTGGCTGAACAGCCAGGGAAAGGTGGATGAGGGGTCCCTCGCCAACTCCATTGCTTCCCATACCAGCTGGGACAGGCTGTGCATCACTCAGAGGCACAAGGACTCCAGAAGAAATGCCTCTCGTGGAGACAGAGCTGTCCCACTTTCCTACACAGCCACCTCCATAAGGAGCACAGAGAACCCCCTGTGGCAGCCAAGCCAGATGGGTTTTCCCCTGCTTGCCTCCCTGGAGGGCTCCACCATGGCTCCTCTCATTTCTACACCTAGGGCTGCACCAGCTCCACAGCACAAACACCAACACCTGTAATAATACTCCAGGTACAGCCATCAAGTAGGTCCATGAAGAGGTGTCCAAGCACCATCATAGAAGACCAGCCACCAGACAACTGCCCAAAGAGCAAGCAGGCAGATGCTCCTCTGCTTACCTTCGCCACCGCTTGGGTGGTGGGGAGAACGACCGTGACCGGGATCGGGAAGACGAGGATGAAGATGAAGACTCGCTAGCTCCATCCG